TTCTAAAGGGAAAGAAGTAAGAGTCACCTTGGAGTCAGCTGGGAGAAAGGACCCGCTCCCTTTGGCTGGGACACCGTTTACCTTGTCGGCCTGACGAGACTTCCCATTCACCTGCACAAGCCAGGCCCTCATTGCGTCTGATACGAGGAAAGGAAATGGGGTTCCCGGCAAGTGGGGGGCAGCTCCCCCCAGGGAGCGGTCAGTCGGGCCTGGGTGGAGGGTGGAGAGTAGGACTCGTCCGGGGCCTTGCTGCCAGGACACCCCTTCCTAGAGAGGGGCTCGGGAACCTGCAGAGGCTGAGCCCCCAAATGCCTGTATGCTCCAGGCCCCATAGTGGACCTTCTCTAGGGCCTGAGCCCCCCCAGGGAGCCAGGGTCACCGACACAAAGCATGATCTGTGGCCCCCAATCGCCCTCCCCATGCCCCCAGCCCTTCCCTCCCCAGAACTACACATGTCAAGGTCTCGGGGTGCAAGATGAGCTCAGATCTCTTCGCTGGTGCTGAGGGCAGGGACCTGCAGGCCACATACACGGTGGTTAGAGAGGGAGGGGAACGAAGGTGCCTTCCACTCTGGGACCTGCATGTGCCCTTCCTGTGACATACCCTCGGCACGGTGTGGGCCGCGTCCCTGGGGCAGGTGTCCGTGCACCTCCGAAGCCGAGCCCAGAGACAGCCCCCTGCCTGCCTGCCACCGTGGTTTCTCAAACCCAGTAGCTTTTCCTCCCTGTGGCTCCCGGGGGGATGCTGGGGACAGGTGAGGTGTCCTGTGAGCCCAGAGTCCCGAGTGGTCTGGGTGCTCTGCTCCCCACCCTGCTGCGCAGAGACACGGCCCCCTAGATTCCAGTGGACGGGTCTCTAGAGGGACCAAGCCTCCCCGGGGCCTCGATCTTCCAATCCTTAACACGAGGACAATATTCCCTTCCCTTGAAACCGTGGAATTTTAGAGTTAGAAGGAGCCTTAAAATCTTCCTGCCCACACTCCTTTGTTTGTGAAAGAAAAATGCGAGGTGCAGAGAGAGCAGGCAAGTCCTGCAGAGTCACACAGCCAATGAGCTACTGACCCAGACAGGACCTCGGGTTTCTGGAGATGCAGCAAAAGGCCTCCAGAGCAGTTCTCAGGCTTCAGGATGTACTGCAAGCTCCTGGGCTGGGGGTGAGGAATGCAGGCCCTGGGCCCCATCCCCCAGCATCCCTTCAGTAGGCCCCGGAGGGAGCAGGGAGCGCAAGCTTCTGCATTTCAGCCAAGCTCCCACGGGCCTTCATTGCCCATCTGCCTCGGCCGCCGGAAGGAGACCCACCTCGGCCCTCAAAGCCCGAGGGGGTCACCCTGGTGCTCCGTGTCCCCAGACAGTCGCCGCCCTCTCCCTCTCCACTGTGCAACTCACCTGAGTGATTTCCAAGGACTCCCACTTCCAGGTCCGGAGTCCAGGTCCGGAGTCCTTTCTACTTAAAAAGGGATGGTCACCGTCCCCATGGCAACGCACTGTCCCAAACTGCTTGGGACCCACTGTCTCGCGGGAGAACCAGCAGACCTCTAGGCGCAGGACCGGGGGTGGCGAGGAGGTCAGCCAGCTGTGACCCAGGGCAATCGGAGGCTGGGCCGGGCCGTGTTGGGGACAGCCTCGCCCTCCCTCCTGATCTATGCCCATCAAGAAGAATGAGGTGCAGGGTCGGACACTGCTGAGGGCCAGCTCCTCTCAGCCACCAACTACACGGCGGGCACAAGCCGACCTTGTGCAAACCACTGCGCTTCTGCGCACCTATGTTGGATAGACCGCCAGGCACGCTTGTAAACTACAAGGTGACCCACACCACAAGGCGAGGCCGCCCGGGAAAATACGGGATGGCACCTGTTAATGGTGAATCTCAGAAAACAACAAATAATTTCGTGGGTAAGTATATCCCACACTATTGCATGGGATATACTCATACTAAAATACGTAGATCTGAAATTCAGAGTTGATAAGACATCCTGGGGGGGGGGCTGGGGGGGGTGGGTTCCTTGTTTTCTCATTTTAGGTTTGTCTGCTTTGTTTTGTTGCTACGTTGGCTGATGGGCATCCCAGCTCCCAGCAGGCATCCCCTGCCCGCTCCCTTCAGACCCAGCACCAGCGGGGCTGCTCCTCCTGAGCCTGTGGGCCCAGCCCTGCTAACCCCCAAAGGATCCCGGATGGAGGGGATCCGTGGCCTCCGCGGCTTCCTCCCTCCCCACTGTGGTGTGCTCTGTGATCGGCACGGTGGCCGCCTGGCAGACGAGCACATTTTTGTAACTGTCAGAGCCAGTCAAGGTCACTTGCTCTGCTCCGTTCTGCTTCTCTGGGGTGGGGGGGGGGGGCGACCGCAAGGCAGGGAGGGCAGGACCCCTTTGCTCCTGCCTTTGAATCCCCTCCCCCGGGAGAGGCAGGGCACTTGCCTACAAAACCCCGGAGCTTGGGCCCCCCGGAGCCCGATTTTCCTCTGCAGGACGTGGGTGGCCACATCGTGGCAGGGGGCTGGACACCCTGAGGTCCCGTGTGTCCCCCAGCTGTCGTTAACGCTCTGGGCCATCCGTCTCTGGGCCTTCTGGTTCAAACGGGACAGTGCCAACAGCACTAACACTTAGAGGGTATTGCTGTGCGTCAGGCTCTGTTCTAAGAACTTCATAAAACACCTTTTTGATCCTCCCAATAGCCCCCGGAGGTGAGCACTAATATCCTCTCCATTTCACAGATGAGGAAACGGGGGGGGGGCGCAGAGGGGTCACACACGGAGCAGTAAGTCGAGGCAGGATTGGAACTGAGCCTGGGTCCTCAGCTACTTTGCACGGCGCCTCCGTGAAGACACAAGGAGTGTGGGGCCGGGGTGGGGGTGGGGGGAGCAGGGGGGGCTGGCATCCAGCAAGCACCTAGGCTGTGCTAAGCATCGCTGACCCCTGACAGAGCTGGTCTCATTCAAACCTCAGGGCAAACAAGGTGTGGGAGGCCGTTACTGCAGTCTGAAGTCAGGGGCAGGGAAACTGAGGCTCAGAGGGAAACGAGAGTGGAAATCAGAACCCCAGCCCCACACCCCACTCCCAGCTGCCAAGAGGTGCCGAAGCCCTCAGGCTCCCTCCCGGCTGCCTCCACCTCTCCCCAGGGAAGCAGACCAACCCTCAACCCGGGCCTGGACGCTGTTCCTTGCTCCAAGCCTGTCTGTCCCTTCTCCCCAGCCGCACACCCCCACCTGGTGGCCCTTTTCTTCCCTCTATCACAGACGGAGCAGAAATCACATCTTACAATCTCACGGCTCTTTCCGTCCACGACCCACATTATCTGGTTCGGATCCTGGCAACCAGCCGCTCAGGTGGACCACCCGGCATTACCGTGTCCTAATTTCACGCCAGAGGGAGACAGGGCTCAAAAAAGTCAAGGGACCCTGGCAGACTCACCCAGGTTCCCTGCCAGGACTCAAACCTATGTCCTCTGACTCCACAACCGGGGCTGTGTGGGGACCTCAGAGGTCAGTCAAAGCACTTTAGAGAGGAGGAGTCAGACCCAGACAGGACACGCGGCCTGCTCAAGGTCACAGAACCCAGACGGAAGGCTGCAGCCTCCAGGCCCCTAAACCCTCGCCTTCCTGCGGTAACACACGGAACCAATGATATCGGCTCCATGACAGCAGAGGCCAATGATGCCAACGCTGCCAAAAGGCAGAGGCAGGAGCAGGGGAACCGAGGCATGCCCCCCCCCATCCTGTTCCACAACAAGGTTTCTGGCCCGACATCCCAGTGTCCAGGACCGTCTTCTGGGGGAGGGTCAGGCGAACGAAGGCGGGTCTGATCTTTTTAGGACTTGCTCCCGGGGCTGAAAATGCCAGCTCAGGGCCTTGCGTCTGGGCAGTGACTGCCCCGATGCCTGGGGTTCCTGCTTCGCAGAGCGAGGAGTGAAGATCAGAGGAATTCAGGGCATAAAGGAGCAACATCCCTGAAACCTCAGGAAATGCATAAAAAGATCTACCAAAGCTAAATCCACGGCTCTGTGACCTTTTATAACGCGTGCCTCCCGGTTCTGGGTCCTATTCTGCTGAACCCTCTGGCTCCACAAGGTCACTGCGGGGACTGGTGCTCACATGCCCACCAGTGGAAGGCTGGAACCCACCGAGGGCAGGGACATCCTGGGGCTCCCCATCCTGGGGGCTCATCCCTATGGATGCTGGGGTCCCCTCTTCCCAGCTCTGCCTCTGCCTCCCTCCACTGGCCTTTGCAGGGCCCCTTAACTTCTGTGCCCTCTGTGTTCCCATCTGCCAAAGGGACCTGTACGTCCGCGTCGCCCCTGGAAAAGTGCACCAGCGAAGCAAGGGCGCAGCAGCCTGCTAAGGCTTTCGTGTTCAGCTTTTCACATCTGGGCTGAAAAAGCACAGAACTGCACATCTGTACTGCATCCCTGGCTAGCGGGCTGCCAGTACGCGGCGCCAGGACTATTTCTCTCCCCTCCTGGACAGAAGAGCAAACCTGGGAGCTGAGAAACAGAGCTGCTCAGGCTCTGGAAGCTGCCCGGGAGCCCGTAGAAGTGGCTGGATCTTTCCGTGTTCAGTGTAGCATGCATGGCGCTCAGCTCTTTCCCGCACAGTGCGGCGGGGGGGGGGGGGTCTTCCACTTACAAGGGGCCCATCAGTAACCTGCACCCTGCTGTACTCTGACGCAAAGGCGGGTGAGTAGATCAGACTTGGGTAGCAGAGAAATGGGAGGTCCCTAACTTCGGAAAGTGAGTTGCTGGAGAAACAGGTGGAGAAGCATGGCATCGGGCCCTGAGACTCCAGATGTGACCCTCCCCACCCACTTTCCCCAGCAGACTCCGGGGCTGGGAACCTGCCACGGTTATTATCTGGGAGCCACTCGACCGGGGCAGCTGCTCCGTGCACCCAAGCCCGGGCTTGCGGGGGGGGGGGGGACACCCAACCCAAGGCCCTGCCCCGGCCGCTCCCGGCTCCCTCCCTGTCACCCCCTGCCCTTGGTCCCACAGCCCAGCCTGCCGGCAGCTCACCTTTGGGCAGCTTGGACGCGTTCTCCTGGATCCAGGAGAAGAGGTGGGCAAAGTCGCAGTCGCACAGCCAGGGGTTCCCGTCCAGGCGCAGGGTGCGCAGCGCGGGCAGCGCGGCCAGGGTGGCCACGTTGAGGCTGCGCAGGTTGTTGTCGTTGAGCTCCAGCACCTGCAGCGACTCGAGGGTCTCGAAGGCGGCCTCGTGCACGCCCGCCAGGTTGTTGTTGGCCAGGCTCAGCTTGACCAGCCTGCCGGCCGAGCGGAAGGCGCCGGCGCCCAGCTGGGTCAGGTTGTTGTAGCTGAGGTCCAGGAAGGCCAGCTTGGCCGAGCCGCTGAACGTGCCCTCCTCCAGGGAGCGCAGCGAGTTGTTCCTCAAGTCCAGGTACACCAGGTCGCCGTAGAAAATGAAGAAGTCCTCGGGGATGCGCTGGATGCGGTTGCCGGCCACCAGCAGCTTGCGCACGTCCAGGGGGAAGGGGTCGGGCACGCTGGGCAGCCCGCGGTCGCGGCAGTCCACGGTGTGCGGGGCGGTGCAGGCGCAGCCCGCGGGGCACGCGTGTCCGGGCCGGAGCGGCAGCAGCAGCAGCAGCAGCAGCAGCAGGAGGCTGCAGAGCCCGAGCGCGGCGCCGGCGGGGGCGGCGGGGGCGGCGGGGGCGCGGGGCCGCATGGCCGGGACCGCGGCGAGGGCGCGCGGAGGGCGCGCGGGGAGGGGGCGCGGGGAGGGCGCGCGGGGAGGGCGCGGGGCGGGCGTGCGCCCAGGGCGCGCGGCGGCGGCGGACCAGGGGACCGGGCGGGGACAGTCGGGAGGGAGGGCCGAGGGCCCGCGAAGGACTTACCGGGACAGCAAATCGAGCCGCCGGAACATCCCCGGGAGAGGCGGGGGCCACGGGCCTGGCGCGCGCCCTGCGCCCCACGTGCGCCCCCCACCCCGGGACCCCGAGGCCGCGCCGGGGGCGCCCACCCGCCCGCCCGCCGCCCACGCGCGCTCCCCGGGCGCCGCCGTCGCCACAGGGAAGGCCACCTGCGTCCCGCGGGCTCTGGCGGGCGGGGCTCCAGGGCGGTCGCTCTCCCTCCTCGCCGGCCCGCGCTGCTCCACCGGCCAGGGAGGCGCGGGGTCAAGTGAGGCGGAGCCGCCTGGGTCCTCGCCAGGGCCGGTCAGCACTTTCCACCCGGCTGGAGCTTGTCAGGCCCCGGAATCCCCCCTGGCAGGACTAGCCCGGGCTGCTGGTTTACAGGGGGGCTGGGGGGGCAGGGACTGGGGTAGGGGCTGGGGTAGGGGCTGAGGGCAGGGACCTGGGGCAGAGGCCTGGGGGCAGGGGTTGGGGGCAGGGACCTGGGGGCAGGGGCAGAGACCTGGGGGCAGGGGCTGGGGCAGGAGCTGGGGGCAGGGGCCTGAGGCAGAGGCCTGGGGGCAGGGGCTGGGGCAGGGGTCTGGGCCAGAGGCCTGGGGTCAGGGACCTGGGGGCTGGGGCAGGGGCTGGGGGCAGGGGCCTGAGGCAGAGGCCTGGGGACAGGGAACTGGGGCAGAGGCCTGGCTCCTCAGTGATGCGGCCTGAGTTCCAGGGCCTGCACCTCTCTGGACCCTCCAGGGCCTGCACCTCTCTGGACCCCGGTGCCCCATCTGTAGCCTGGGACAAGGTGATATGAATGATCCTGGTGGGAGATTTCCCTCCCGGGGAAACTACCCCCAAGCCAAGCTCCATCCCCCAAGCCAAGCTCCATCCCCCACCCCTCCACCCATTTCAGAAATGGTCGAGAGAGATCCCCGCAGAGCCGCCAAGACATTGTCCTGCTGCTGGCTATTTTGGTCCAAATACCCTGGAATTGATAAGCTCCCACTGAACCAAAATAACCTTGGCAACAGCTGTTGGGCAACAGGCCAGAGACCCTGCCCCGGTCCCCCGCCCCTACACAGACTGGTGGAGGCTCAGATTCTAAACTATAAGAGCTAAGCCCCAGCCTTTTCCAAAGGTACATGCAGTCTCGATGCCGCCTCCGATGGATCAAAAACCTGAGCCTCTGGGACCGAGCCAACAGCTCAACAGATGACAAGTGCTTGCAGAAGACCGGGGTGGAGGGGGGTTGAGTACAGAGTTCCAGGGAACAGCTCTTGGGGTCCTGCAGCTCTTTCTCTGCTTATTCTCTGGGCCACACTGCCAGACCCCCGGAATCCTGTGTCCCTACTTTCCCAGGAACCTCCACTTGCCTGTATGGCCCCCAGGTGCAGGGTGGAGCCCCCACCCTGCCCCACCGTGGCATCATCCCCTTGAAGAGGCACCTGCAAGGGGGAGGGGGAGGCATAATCTACCCTCCTAGAGTGGGCGAGAGTACCCGGGACTGCATAAATGATGCACTGCTGCAGTGTCACACAAAGCACAGGCAGGTGCAGGATCAAAAGGTCCCCCTATTGTGACTCTGTGGGAGCGCCCTGCTCCATCCCTTACAACCTCCGCCTTTCTGGGGTCCAGGCTGGGTTCTGGGTGCTTACTCCAGGGCTGAGAGAGCCCGCCTGTCAGTGGTCGAAGCCCTGGGCGTCACTGTCTCAGGACATCTGGGTTTGGTTGGGCTCCCATCTCACACGTGCACACGGCTGCGCCTGCGTCTCCAGCGTCCTTCCTGCCAGCTAGTCTGGTTGGCTGCAGCCCTGGCCTGGGAGATCCGCTGCTAGTCACCGAAACTTCCACAGGCCACTTGATCTCTCTGGGGACGCACTTCTCAGCCTGGGGTCCGTGGGCCCTTGGTGATGAACACTTTTCAGAATTAAAAAAAAAAAAAAAAAAACGAACAACAATCTGGTGAAATCTGGGAAGGAGGCCTCCCAGAGTAACTGCTGCAGTTCTTGGTGACGGACCTGACGGCAGCCCTAGTTCTGCGCGGAGCAGACACTGGCACCCGGGGATGACTTTGACTAATGGACACAGAGCTGCGTTTCTACGTAAGAAATGCGGACTGTTTGGCAAGGGCTTTCGAAACGGGGATGCTGGGTGGTAAAATAGCATAAGGGGCTCCTGCTGATGAAAATGTTGAGAAATACCACTCCTGGCCTGAATTCTCATCTTGAAATGCGGGAAAAAATACTTTCTCTCTCCTCTTCCACAGACTATGTAAGGCCCACGTGGGGAAACACTGGTACGGGATGTGAGCTGAAGAGTATTTAGAGAAACACGGCCCATAGAGGTGGCCGTAAGTCTCACTACGGCAGGAACTCCTCGTGTCTTGCTTTGAGTGTCCCCCGAAGTCCCTCAAATCTAAATTTAAGTGTTTTTCATTAATATTAGCAGGAGAAGACTCGGCTGGCTTTCATGGGGAGCAGGGAGGGGGCCCCGATGTTCCAGAGCTCCTATCCCTTGGGAAAATGCAAACTTTGCCACCTCTGATTTTCCCCAGGCAAGGAAAACATAGCTGTGACCTCGGCAAGGTCACACCATGAGTCAGTGGTAGCTGCTGGAAATAGAACACAGGCGTCCTGACTCCCCAGCTGCTCCGCTCACCCTGCTTCTCCCACCCCTACCCCCCCAGCCCAGGAAGGGGGCCCCTCACAGCCGGATGGAAAATGTTGCAGGTGACAGGGACCGACCTTCAGAGACTTGGTCAGCTCCTCCTTTGTGGTGCCTGTTCAAGAGGCTCAGAACCTGACGTGCCAAATACCCAAGGTATTCTAAGGTTTCAAAACCTCGCGTCACGCGTTTCCCAACGGTTCTCCTCCGGTGTCCCCGAGCCACAGCCACGCAGCACCTCCCGTCCTGTTTCATGAGTGGCCGCCGTCTGTCGCCCTGTGGGGTCGGGTCTCCGGATCTGTGTGGACGGTGGCCCCCAGGAATCCCCTCCGTGGGGCCTGCGCCCTGTAAACAGAAACAATCCTCAGTCGTGAGGTTTTCTCCCTTGGGTGGGCGGACTGGCCTCTAAAGCAGCCCAGATCCTCGGCCCGACACTATGAACGAGGTGATGCCCGCATGGTGTGTGCAGAGCCTGCATCTGGGAGCAGGTGCTGGGCCTGAGCGGCGAGTGGCTGGCGTTCGTGGCCATGTCATCTGCTACTGGTCGTATTGCCTCTGGCGAGCGCCCGGCTCACCTGGGTGGGAGGCACGAGGACACCCCAAAGGCCCCAGGACCTGAGACCTGCTCTGGGCCTTTGCCCGGGACAGCCGGAGGCCCCGGAACCCGCTCTCTGCTCCGTGCACGCGGCTGTGGCTCTGTTCCCTCGTTAGCCGCCAGCTCCACCTTCACCTCCCTCACCTTCCTCGGCGTCCCGCCCGCTGCCCCTTCTCACCGCCCCACGGGGGGCACCGCCGGCCGCCTGCACCGGCTCCATCTCTTCTAACCACTAGGTCTGGGGTGAGGAGAGCCCGTGAGCCCGGGCCCACGGAGAGGAAGAGCTCCAGCCACTGGGGTCATCCCTGGAACCGGGAAGCTAACCTTCAACCCGCCTAAACGAGAGGCAGGGAGGCGGAAGGGGTTGGGAACATAGGTTTGGACTCAGACCTGGGTCAGATCTTGGCTCTCCCGTTCATGGTCTCCGTCACCTTGGGCAAGTTGCTTACCTTCTCGAAGCCTCAGGGTTCCTGTCTGTGAAATGGGATCATCCTAGGGCCTACTTCCCTGGGTTGTTATGAGGATCGAATGAGCAAGTGCTTAGCAGTGAGACTGTCCCAACAAATGGCAGCCACCTAATTACCTAGCTCTCTATTTGTTCACCCACGGAGGCGGGTGTTTTTCGGGTGAAGTATGGGTGCCTTCGCCTGGCTGGAAGTCCCTTGTTCTGAATGCCCTAAAATTCCAGGGTCAGCTTTCAGAAGTCTCCCTCTGCTGAGCCACGCTCCCCACTCTGACTCTAGACTATCTGAGAGACAGACACGTGCGCACACACCTTAGCTCTCTCCAGCTCTGGCTGACTTTCTGAGCACCGTTATAGGTGAGTGGTTCCCCAACCACACCCCAGTTCACCGGCTGGATTGGTCTGAGTGTGGGCAGACTAGTAAGATGAAGGGCATGGGGTCAGTCCTTCATCCCAGCACAAGGAGACATCTGTTCTCTGCCACGGCCGGCGCTCCGACCGCCGGCTGGCCATCCCAAGTGTGTGACCTTGGGTTGGGCCAGAGGTTGGGGGTAGGGCCACCCTATCTTTCCCAGGAGGAGAAAAATGCAGAGCACATGTCCCAAGAGTCAAAGGGGCCCCATTCCATGATGTGTAGCAAGCTCAGGAGTCATCCCCGGTTCCTCTTGGCTTGTGTGCACCCCCTCCTATCCATTGGCAAGGCATCCCCGCTGTCCTTCTCTGCTCCCCACTGTTACCTCCTTAATCCAAACCAGCATCGTCTTGTACAGCAATCCCCACTGGCCTTCCCAGCCCCTGCCCACACTCCCAATACTCAAGAAAGCTAAAGTGATCTTGGAAAACATACGTCAAATCACCTCACCCCCCTGCTTAGACAGCTCCAATGGCTTTCTGTGTGTGGTGAACGGATTTCGAAGATGATCTCCCTGCCAGTTACCCCGCCCTTGGTACTTTTTGTGTGGGGGCAAGGCCTGTGATCTATTCTAATGAATACAATACGGCCGAGGCGATTGATGCCATTTCTAAGATTAGGTTACAAGAGATGGTAACTTCTGTCTTGCTGTCAGGCTCCCTCTGTTCCCTCTGTGGCGTGTGCGCTTTGACGAAGCGAAGCGAGCTGCTGCATCGGAGTGGCCGGCACGGCAAGGATGTGAGGATGGCCTCAGATCAGTAGCCTGTGAGGAACTGAACCTTACCAACAACAACGTGAGCTTCAGGCCCCCACATGAACCCAGAGATAAACTGTGAGATGAAGGGATCCCTGGGTGGTGCAGCGGTTTAGCGACTGCCTTTGGCCCAGGGCGCGATCCTGGAGACCCGGGATCGAATCCCACGTCGGGCTCCCGGTGCATGGAGCCTGCTTCTCCCTCTGCCTGTGTCTCTGCCTCTCTCTCTCTGTGTGTGACTATCATAAATAAATTAAAAAATTTAAAAAAAAAACTGTGAGATGAAACTGTGAGACAAGAAAATGTGTTCTGTTTTAAACCACTACATTTGGGGATAACTTGTTACACAGCAATAGCTAGCTAATACACTGCAGCACTTGGAGTAAAACCCTAGCGGACCCTGTGTAGTCTGGCCCCACATGCCTCTCCCACCCCATTTGGGACCACCCTCCCTTTGGCTCACCACCCTCCAGCCACTCTGGACCTTTGTACCTCTAATTCTTCATGTTCATGTCCATCCCTGGACATTCGGTGCACTCTGGCTGGAACACTCCCCAGAGCTCTTAGTGTGTTGGTGCCATGTGGTCATCAGGTTTTCTTTTTCATGTTTTTTTTTTTTTTTTTTTTTAGAGAGAGAGTGGGAGAGAGAAAGCTTGCACGCACACACCTGAGCAGGGTTTGGGGAGGGCCAGGGGAGAAGGAGAGAGAGCTCAAGCAGGCTCCTTGTCCAGCAAGGAGCCGGACTCAGGGCTCAATCCCACGACCCTGAGATCACGACCTGAGCCGAATCAAGAGTCGGATACTTAATCGCCCAAGCTCCCCCCAGGTACCCCGGTCATCAGGGTTACTCAGCCCAACTACCGCTTCCTTAGACTGGCCTTCACTGGCCTCCCTCTGTCCTCAGTTACTCTCTTCCAAGCATTTATTACGCCCTGACATTACCTAGCTTGCTTGTTAGTTAGTTAGTTGTTTATTCATTCTAAGTTCTGCCACTAAACGGAACTACTGTGAGGCCAGGATGTTGACCCAGTTCCTAGCATCGGCCTCAGAATGTAGTAGGCACTCAAGGAATGCTTCATTAAGTTAATTGCTACCTGCAAGAGATGCTTCTCAACTAACCTACCGGTTTCTCGGTAGCTTCCAGTGGCGTCTCACCTGGAGATGTCCACCCAGCTCTTCGGGGGGAGGAAGGGCCTTCTTCCCTCCAAAGCTGGCCTCAGCTCTGGCCTCATGGAGGGAAAGGCATCCTTGTGTGGGGCACAGAGTGCTCCAGCGACACCCTGAAAGTAGCCTGGGAGTTTGGGACTCCTCCAAACACATTCCTGGTTCCTCTCCACTCCATCGAAAGCATGCAGGACCCCACAGATGGCTTTATCATCCACCTTCAATCCTTCACAATGCCCTCTCTCTGCCTTGGCTCTCACCAGCTTCCAAGTTTGGCTCAAAGAAACTTGGCCTCCTCCGGGGAGTCCTTCCAGAATCGCCCTGGATAATTCCCCTCGTTCTCCGTCCTGGAAGAACAGGTGCCGTGCCGTGGATGGGGCTACAAGACGGAGCAGGAACAGCTCTGTGCTTAAGGAGCCCATGGTTGAAGAGGCAGCTATGGGAAAAGGTAACCACAGTGTGGTTAGAGCTCAGGAGGTACATGTCGGTCTGTAAAACTCCAAGCCACCGCGTTTTATTCAGCACCCTGAACGGGGGCAGTAATTTGGGTAGAGTCAGAGCTAAAAGCATCGGCCCCTGGGCCAGTCAGCCTGTGTTCAAATCCTTGTCCACCATTTCTAGGCTGTGTCTCTTCTGCAAGTAAAGTAGTCTCGCCACCCCTCAGCTGCTTCATCTGTAAGACGGGGACGCATGGTAGCCATCGGTCATTGAGAAGATTCGGTGAGGGATAGCGTACAGATGGGCACGTGGCACAACTTCTCACGAGCAGCGGTGTCCCGACACCGTCAACCATTGAACACTTCCTGCAACAAGCATCTGTTGCTCGCCTCACATTCACAAGGAAGGCACCCACCTGGGTCCCTGACAGGCAAAGATAGAGTAGAGGGCGTCCATCCTCAGACGACTCACCGTCTTCATCAAGAGACCGGGACACACGGCAGCAGCAGACAGTGCAAGGATGCACCGTGTACGATAACCACCGAGCAAATCTCCCGGGCTCACAGATGTCACAGGCATTTGGAGGAGTCAGGGATGCCTGGGCTGGCGTGAGTGGGGCAAGGTACGTCTTGACACTGTTGGCCATATTTTCCAATTCGGATCTGGGAGCACATGGCCACGTGGCTTCATGCTTCTGTACCCTGGCGCACAGCGTTCCCTCTGCCGGCCCACGTGGCACACTCCTGCTCACCCTTGAAGACACCGCGCATTTTTCCAGGTGGCCTTGACCTTCCCAGGTGCGGCCAAATACTTCCTCCTCTGCATCTCTTGCTCCCCGGGCTTCTATTCTTGTTCCCTGGGTGCAATGTGACATTTATTGATGACATGCTTGTCTCCCCTGCTGGAGGGTTAGTGAGCTCTGGTGTGAGAAAACAGGTCCTTGAGAGCAAGGACAGCAGACAAAGGTCCTTGTGAGCAAAGATCGCATCTGTTCCACCTTGAAATCTCGGAACCCAGCATAGGGTAGGGCCCTGCCTGGGGCACTGAACCCAGCTCAGTGTCTTTGCTGAATAAGTGAATGAGTGCACACATGGATAAATGAATGGTTCTGCCCTATGGAACGATCACTGGACCAAGTATTTGAAGTCTGAATTGCTTCCGGAAGCTCGAGAGGTACGAGCGTCTGTAATCATGCCACCAGACTATGGGTTCAACCCCACAAATCCTGCAGACTGCTCGGTGGCCCCCGTGGCTTCTGCTCCTTGCCCACACCCTCCCTCACAATAAGAAGCCCCGTGATCCCAAGCCCTCTCATTAACCATTTATAGGGCCGCAAAGCCCCTTATACCCGTGATCTCAGTTGACCCTTAAAGAATAGTCAGGTGGACAGGCCGTGGGTCATTGTGTCTGTTTTATAGAAATCAAGACTTAAATGGCTCAACTTTTCCAAACCAGAAACAAGCTTCCCGTGCTCCTTGTGCGGCTCCCGTGTCCTCGAGTGGGGTTCTATAATAATGAGAGACGAGCCCGTGGCTGCAGAGTGGAGGCCCTGATTGGATACAGGTCCTCAGAGCCTGGCATTTCAAGGTTTATTTTGGACCAGCCACACATCTCTGATTGCACGGCAGCATTTAAGCTGTCCTCGCTAGCCGCCCCTGCCCTCCCCCACCCCAGCTCCCAGCCCTGCGTGGGCCCCGGGCACCTCCTCGTGCATGCCTGCGGGCACTTCCTCCTTCCAGGTGTGTCTTTCTGAGAGGGCAGATGGGAGCAAATAGTATAAAACCTCCAGAATTCTTTCTAGTAAATGCGGAGGCACACAGGAGGCTATTTTTATGTGAATTTGTATGTGATTTGCATAAATCTGCATATATTTCCCCAAGCCATCACACTGAGCTCCTGAAGCAAACCATTAATGGGTGAATCCGCTTCATTCACGCCAGCCAATGGCAGGAGTAGATGCATCTGCTATCCTAGCTGCCCTGGCTGTATTTCCCCCCCTGAGATTTCTTCTAATTTAAGATGAAATCATTTTCAGTATTACCGAAGACCTCAAAGGATATAGGAAACATGACATTTATACAATAATAATAATTAATAATAATAAGTCTCTAAATCAGAGGGCTTGCTATATAGCAAGCATTGCTCTATCAGGTGTAATTATATTATCTTTTTTTGGCAAATATATATTTTTTTATCTTCTCAGTAATTCAAATGGTGAGTCCCATCACTATCCTTATTTTACAGATGAGAAAACTGAGGTTCACAGGGTTGGGGAAACATGACTTGTCACCGACTCAAACAGGGGCATCTGGCTTCATTTATTCATACAGCAAATTTTAGCTTAAGCACCTGCTATGAGCCAGGTATTATTCCAGACACTGGAAATACTGCAGCGAACAATAAAAATAGAAAGTCCAGCCGTCACAAAGCATTAGGGTGCCTTAGGTAGGGTGAGGTTGGGTTGCTGTAACAAAGAGACCCTAAATTTATTCAATCAAAGAACAAAGAAGTGAATTTCTCTCTCAACTGGTAATTCAAGGCCTGTTTCCCAGGTTGGTGGGCAGCCCTGCTCCACCTGGTCACTGGGGAGAACCCAGGTTCCTTCCAAGCTTTTGCTCTGCTGGGCACCTGGGACACTGTCTTCACCTGGTTGGGTGGGCGGGGCTGCCGCCCTGAGGTGTAGCGGCAGGAAGGTGGGAGGGAGCGCGGAGAGGCCACCCTCGGTGCTGAAGTCTGGGCCTCTGGGCAGAGGCAACAATCATTTCTGTTTCCTTTCTGGGAGTGTAACCTGGTCCTCTGGCCACATCCAACTCCAAGAGGGGCTGGGAACGGGGTCTGGCCGGGCCCCGGGAGGACAGGAGAATGGCTCTGGGTGGGCAGCCAGCAGCTTTGCCACAGCATGACGTTCGCCAAGCAAGTGACGCTATTGGATGGTATCACACAGTGATAAGAGCAATGAAGAAAGATGAAACAAGGGAAGGGCCTGGAAGGTGATGGGGACAGATTTGTCAACAGTCATGAGCTCTTAATCACGGTTCTGAACTGACCCCCCGCAACCACCCCCACGTTCACAGCGACGGCGCTACAGGCTCAGGAGACACCCAAGCACTTCCTGAACCAAATAAGGCCAAGTCAGGTCCAGCTGAGTAACCAGAGGCTCTGGCCAAGCCACAGTTTACTGGACTTGACCTTCAGAGAGGCTCTCATGCCTTTTTCCAAGGTATTTTATTTATAAGACATGTTATTCTCATTTTAAATTTCCTTGTGGTGGCTAGGACAAGTACTGTCATTCCCCTTTGACGATGGGGCATCTTGAAGCTGGAGAATGTTCGGTTCAGTTAAAAATAAACTGTAGGGGCCCCTGGATGGCTCAGCAGTTGAGCATCTGCCTTTGGTCCAGGGCATGACCCCAGGGTCCCGGATCGAGTCCCCCATCGGGTTCCCTCCCTCTGCCTGTGTCTCTGCCTCTCTCTCTGGGTCTCTCATAAATAAATAAAATCTTTAAAAATAAATAAATAAACTGCATCCAGCTCTTGTGTGCCAAGGAACTGGGATAGGAAGGCAATTGGGATGCGATTCCCCCAGATGCCATGACAGGTAGGTAGGGTGGTGAACAGACAGGTAAGCAAA